CCGGCTGCGGCGCGGGGCTGCAGCCCTGGGTTCGCGGTGTGGTCTCGGGGCACGGCGTGGCGTTTAACTCGGCCCTCAAACTAGCCGCGTTGCGTTTAATAATTGTTCCGCTGACTTAAGCGCGCGTTTAAATAAAAGGAGTTAATGCGCTTTTTTGCATTTGCTCGTATGAGGGAAAACTTCTAGTGATTTATACGCTTTAAGTGAACTTATTGAGTGTTAAATTATGATTGAGCCCAGCGACTGGCCTCTGAAGGAAATTATTCGTGGTATACAGCTGCTGTTTTTAGATTTTTCAAATTATATGTTCTTTTGGATGAAATTTTAATCGTTAAAATATATACGGTTGACCAATAAACAGTTTATTGGTCTACATGAAACTTACACTGAATAAAATGTCTGTTAGTAATATCAAATGCACCTATCCCTTAACGCTGCTAATGTCAATGGCAGGAATAGTTTACTGTTTAATCTTTCTCCTGGACTTTGTAACTTTGAGAATTTCCCGTCTCTGGAGCGCTCTCCATAGAGAGCTTTTCCCCCAATACTTTGGGAAACCGTGTCTAACTTCTGCCTGCTTACAGCTGCGTGTATTTGAGCTGTCTGGTCCCCCAAAGATAGCATATATTTAACATAGTTGTTCTGTGTTTAAATGAATGGTTCTTAACTCCTTTATATGTCTCTCATTGCGTTGTTGCTCGTCTATTAGAGGTTGTTGGATGCAGGATAAGCTTTCTTCTTTTCTTCTTTGGCTTATATCAACCTTTACTTTTTCTTAAAGCTGGTCTTTTTTTTTATCTGCTCTGATATTGAAGGCATCATGTGGCCTTAAATGTTACATGTGCAGATAGGAAAGGGTACAAATACCCTGAAAATAATTAGAGCTTGCAGCTTTGGAAACATTCCAAAGTCTCTTTAAGCATGTTTTGAAAATTCATGTGAAATGACATTGCAGTTGATAACTTGATTTAATTATTTTCTCTTCAAAAAACAATTTCTTGCCGTTTGAGTCAAAATTAAATTGTAAAGTTAAGAGTCAAGTTGTCCATGCGATTCTCTTGCCTCTCAGAGCCCCCCCACCCCCCAAAAATTTCAGAGCAGTTTGCTAAATAGCAAGCTGTGTATTTGTTTGGTTTTAGGCTCACCGTTTTGTTTTGCTTTGTTTAGCCCACTCTCCACAGCGCTGCTTTTTTTTTTTAAGTGCTACATAGAGACTTGGTTCCCATGACTCGCAAATCGTATCACCAGTGTTTGGTTGAAATGTTTAAATGTTTGAAATGGGCTGTTGCTTCAAATCTTACGACTTTGGCAGTCTTAAATTTCATTAAAAGAGCTTCCTTAGGAAGAACAGCATTGATAATTCCCCCTCCAACAGTAACATCCGTATTCAGCTACGTGATGCGTGTGGGTATACCTTGATTATATGAAGGAATTAAGCTCAGGTACTCATGTTAAGAACAAGATGTCAGAATATCACTTAAAGAATTCCCCTTGTGTTGCTGTTTTGTAGCTCTTAGGTGATTGAACAAGTTATATTTTTCTGAAAATTAAATAGTTTAACTATTAATTCTGCAAAAATTAAGTGGATATTTAACTTCAAGCTTGTAAGGAGTCCCCCTGAAGTCAATGTGGCTGTATTTGTGTGATCAGTGTGCATATATGCATACTCTTGGCAAAAAACAATTAAATAAGTTAGTAGTCTTCTACTATCTTCCCAACTATTTATGACATGTAGTAGTACAACAGCTATTCTAAAATCAGTTATAATTATCTTCAGTAAGATTTGTTTCTTCTGTGCCAAGCTTTGTAGCGAGCAGATGGTTTTAAGGTGTCTTCAGCTGGAGAACAGGCAAGAACACTGCTGAAGACTAATTACTCTTTGCAGGAAATCTCTTCTGCGATAAGTTCACACGTCGTTAGACTTAATCTGTGGAAACGATTGCTAATATGACTTGTGCAGTAAAAAAATGCTTTTAAAATTTTGTCAAAGCTAGAAAAATCTTAGAATGACAAGAAAATATTTTTCAATTTGGCCTGGATGCTGTAACTTTTATTAGGGATAAACTGTTAAATGAAGTTGCAAAATGAAATCCTTTTTGTGTACCATGTTACTTCACAGTTTTAATATGATTATAAATATATCACAAATGAAGAGTTTATTTGGTAGATTGAGTAGGGAAAACTTGTATTGCCGTTTCAATACCGCATGCATGTCTATTATACGTAGCAATCGCTATGTAAGCTGGATTAATGCATGGCATAGTCTTTGGACTAACAGTCTGGTACTTTTCATTAAATTTCATAACATTAGACTGTACAGGACAGAATTATACCAGCAAGGAACAAAAATGTTCAGAGCTATAAACAACGGCATGTACAAGAGTAAACTTGTATGAATTTTAGATACATCCTCCTTTTCAATGACTTTATTTAAAAGTACAAGAATTAAAAAAAGAAAAAAGAAAAACACCTGGTGTAACTACTCAAACTTCTTGGCATAATAGTCACTTTGATATGAACAGATAGAGCTGAGCAAGTCTCTCTCCCTCCCTTTTCTACTGAAAAGCCAGAAGGACCATCCTGGCTGGTTTAAGAGGTCTAATTGGAAAACAATTGTTCATGGCCGTCTCATTCTTAAAACAATACTTCATCTTTATTTGTAGATCTTAACTCAAGTAAGGATGTTTAACAAACACCCCGTTTTAATCAGGTGAGGATAAGCCCCTCAATTAGGATGCAAATCATTGCAGCCACCTCTTGGTTGTCATTTGGGACCTGGAGCTGTTGCCATTTGCAGGTAAATCTGTTGCTACAGGAGTATTGAAGCGGGAGGGAGGAGAAAATAGGAATAAGGGTGTAGGACTGCACAGTTGTCTTGCAAAATATTTTTGGTCAAAGCATTCAAAAGCAGATCCTGTTTCCTTCTTCAGCAAGCTGTTCGGTAACTCTTGGTTTACAGCTGAAAGAAGTGTGAAAGGAAAATTGAATCTAAAGTAGCGATCACTCTACAGACAATTCCAGCAACTGTCAGAGACTGAATATTTGGTTTTAAATAATCAACCTTTTTCACCTGCTCTTCCCAGTTGGGACTTAACGCTATCCTTGAATCATTTCAAAGGTGTGTGAATTCAGAGGAGAAAGATGACATGGGGATAATCCTTCCCATTTAAAATTATTTGTCTGCAGTTCCTTAAGTCCTGGCATTAGGAGTCCCATATAAACATGTTTATTTAACACCCGCCTTATCTGCTGGATTGTACATGGTTCGTTAACATGGAGAGAATACTTCTTGCTGAATAGTGGGGGGGAGCTGCCGAGGTCAGGAGAGGTTGTTAGCCTGAAGTAGAGCTGGCACCTTCGCTTCGCGCTCGCGCCGTTCGTCACCCACGCCGTCCCCGCGAAGCACGGCCCCAGCGCGTCGCCGAGGTATTTATCCCCGCGCTTATGTGCGGAGGCTCTGTAGAAAGCCAGCAGTCTGCTATGGGCTTGCGGTAAGGTTTACGAGGAATTCTAGGGAAGGTTTGTTGTAATGTTGTGGATGCTTGATTTATTTGGGTCATGATTAGGAAAGGTGGTTTAAAAAGGGAAGAGGACCGGGCTGGAGCGGAGCCCGGGGCACCTCGTGGTGGTACCCCACGCAATGTGCTTGGCCAAAATCACCGTGTTTTACAGGGACGTGGGGGTCCGCAGGCTCGAGAGATGCGAACGTTTTGTGTGCTGTCGTGAGATGTTTCATAGCTACTGCAGGGCTGGTCGTGCTTAAAATGGCTGTATGTGGTGGGGAGGCTGGCACCCGCGCCGGCGGGAGGAGCAGCAGAAACGGGCCCTTTCTGTCGCTTCCAAAACTTGCTGCGCGCTGGCCGCTTTCTCCTGCGGACTAGGGAGGTGCTTGGAGTTTGTGGAAATGTTGGACAATAACAGGGACACTAGAAATAGCCTTTATAGGAATAACCATGGCCTCATGTTTGCAGAGCTCATTTAAAATGTTTTAATGCTATTTATGTATATAAGCTACTAGCTATGCACTGCACACGGCATTTGGGGGAAGAGATGCACGTACGCGCCCATGCAATGTCATTTAACTTTGGAGCTCCTTAAAAAGGTTTCTGAGGAGTCAGTGAATTTCTCCAGCCTGACTGGGATCGTGGCGGGTGGGGGCTGTTTGGGATTTTTTTTTGCCTCTGAGAGAAAAGATAATAAATTCTGTTCTGTCCTATTTTCAATTAGAAAAATACAAGATTGCGTTCTATGTCTTCTATCAAGCAAGGACCCATAGTAGTTTATAACCAAAAGGTATTGAATAAAATGAGCATTATTCTATGGATCAAAGTGGCTGGGGAAGATGCAATGTGCTGAAACCGACTGCAAATGTGCAGACTTTTTAAAAGCAGAACAGTAAAAGTAGAAGGGATTTAAAAAAATAAACTGAACTTCTGTGTTGATTATAAGTTGTAACTGAAATACGTTGAGGGCCTGAATATTGCTTTTAGAAAAAGCAAGACAGCTTTTTTTTTTAAAAAAAAAGGTTGGCTTAGATGGGCAGAGAGGAGGACAAAAATAGGTGCTATGTTGGGGGGAAGTGTCTGTGGGTTTTTTCTTTGAATTATTTTCAACAAGTACTTACTCTGTTCTGTATTTTTAAGAAATTATGTGGACAGAAATTTTGTTTCTTTACCAAGGCAGTGAAAACACCAAGAATCCTTTTTATAATTTGGAAAGAATGTCAAAAGAATGAAGTAGTTAAACCTAAGTGTATTAGATCATACGCTCTAAATGCATAAATAAGCATAACTGCAATCACAGAAACCGATGTTAAAACCACCAGGAAAACTCACCCACAAACCCTAATGACTTGAAGGGAATGACCTCAGCCATTGTGAAATTTGTGCCTATTTGTTGACTGACATTTTTGTAGCAGCAGAGTGCATGGTGTTTCACTGGGGTGTGGGGTTTTGTTGTCCAAAGGACTGCTGGGGTTTTTTCGTTGTTGCTGTCAGGTTTGAATGTGAAGACTGAAGAAGGGATTCAGGTGGGGAGAGCCTGCATGTAATTTGGACCGGAGCGATTTGAAGTGCGGGTGAAGTGTTTGTTGCTGATGGACAGAGACTGGTGGAAATTGATTGAAGTTTGCTTTTCAGATGTTGGAAACTTCCTTGCTGATAGCCTGTTTCTAACTTATTCCCAATTGGCTTCCTCGTAAGGAAATGGAGATTTAAAGTATTTGGTTACAAACCTGAGATTTCTTCCCGTGCCTTTCTGCGCGTGAGTGCTGGGTGAAATGTCGGTGTCATTCATCTCCCCTCTCTCCTTTTGGGAAAGGAAATTGATGCCCGGTGAACCTCAGCTTGCCTTTGCGAAACACCAGCTAATAACTCTGGCGATGGAAGTCTTGAATTATTTCAACAGTAAAAGGCTACTTTGGGGATGTTTTGAAATAAATCAGTGCTGCAGACTGCAAGCCTGGTGAGAGCCGAGCCACTCGGCAGACCTGGGTCCTCTCGGCACTGACTGTTCCCTGCAGCCGGCACCTACTTCTCTGGGCTGCAGTCATTAAAGACAGTCCAGATTTGCTTGCCGCTTCCCAGATGTGCAGGCAGTTTTAAGAAAACTGGTAAATTTATGCTGTTTGCCGCCTCATTGTAGGCGTTCAGTCTCATGGCGCAGAAATTCTTATCCACCATCCCCACTTTGGGGAAGGCGAGCAGCCCGACGGACTGAAAAACAATTTGGTACTAGTCAACCCAGGTACTAACCGGTTAACAGGGAGCGAGTTTTGCCTCGCTCTGTGCCGAAAAGGGCAGACTTCACAGCGAAACTGAACCGGGGTAGGAAAGCGTTATCTTTCCAAACAAAGGCAGGGGGACGTGGGGAAAATTTCTTAAACTCAGCAAATGCCTTAAAAACTGGAAATGCCTCTAGGATTACTCAGGCACCCACAAGAAACAGTGAGGGGAAAGTGGAGCAGGCATCTGAAAAATTTTTGTTTTTTTTAAATAGGTTGAGTAAGCAAAGCAATCCGAGGGCCCCGGTTATTTACAGCTTAGTCTCTGCGCCACGGAGTCGCTCATCAGCTATCTGAAATGCAAGGTTCACATCTAGTGCAAATTTCATCTTTTGGTGATGTTTTGATCCAGGTTTTTGTGTACTCATTTGGCCTTAATAAATTTTGAAGTAACTTGGATCAGTCTTAATATAAATCTCTACCAGCAGCGGTGATCCCTCTTGTTGCTGCACTTCTGTGCTCGATTACTCTGTTTCTGCTTGAGTTGTAACAAGCAGTAAGATTGTAGCAGTCAAGTCAAAATGTGCTTACAAAACGTTTTACTTCACTTTCGGCAAGCATTTATGGTGTTGACTTAAATTTACAAAACTGAAGTCCTGCTATGCAAATAAATGATTATTCCCCCTTTCTGTGGCTGAAACAATTCAAAAAGTTGCTCAATACTAAACACTGATTTATTTGAAAGTTACTGTTTTTCCACCCTCCGAAAACCAAAAACACACACTGCTTCTTACGAAACTAGACACTTTTGTAAATATAACATTTGAATGTTATATCGGCTGCATCCAAATTTTCCTGTTTTAGTAAGTTAACTTTTTTAAATTCATAAACCACTTTGGTCTGCCTGAAGCTTATTTTTTATTAGCTGAAGGTTAAGTGCTACATTGATGCTCCTCTCTGAAACACGGAGTTAGGAGTAAGTTAGCCTTAAATATTGCAACAAAATAGAAAAAAACAAATTTGGTTGTGCTTGGTTGTGGGCAAATATTTTTGTATCCAGTCTGTCTCCCATTGCAGTTCCCAGTCATTTCAGACAGACTGGCTCCCCCTCTTCAGAGGGAGCTCTTCTAAATCCTCTGTACTTGTTGCAAAAGTGCATTTTAAAAAAAGTTCACGTGGTAAGCAGTGTGCATGCAGGTCTGGGTTGACTTCACGGGTGCAAGAGCCTTGCAGGGTGAGAGTCTGTGCTAGCTGTGCGCGGCGGGCGCCTTGCTTGCGATGCAGCAAAGCTCTCCGGCAGCAGCAGGTAGCAAAAGCAAACACATCCCAGCGCGCTGGGAAGCCAGCACGGCTCCCGTGGCCGGGGATATCGCAGCCCTGCGGTAACAGCGGATGTGTCCTCCTGCGCTGAAAGACCTTTGCAGCCATCTAGCTTAGTGCTAAGTTAGAGCATCTGTTCTGGCCTTATACTCTTGTGAGCGTTGATGGAGTTAACCAGCACCAAAATAAGGCAGGCACCAGTTTTCTTTTTGTTTATTGAAATAAACTAATCAAGATCTGCATTCTGCTTAGCCTTTGTAGGCTATCATGTAAATAGGTACTTCAGATGAATTTTGTTTTTAATAAACTTCACTTCTGCCCAGAATAAGGGGCAAGTTTGGGCCTCTGACCTGGAATACCTGATCATCCAGCAATGCTAGAAATGTGCGTGACCCTGCACAAGGCGCTGTGAGAGATCTGTCGGAGAACTTCGACAGACTTTTGCTGTCTCTCTAAATGACTTCACCCTCTTTAGCGTCTCTGCACCTGAATATTTAAGTTGTAGTTTGAAAGAAGGCGCATTCCCTCAGTTATGTAAGATTTAATTTTGTTTGGCAGCTATCCTTCCTGTTCGCTACAACAGATGACTAATTTAGGGAAGAGAAATGGATGGGGAGCAAACTGAGTCTTCTGTAAAATATTTGAAATCTGATTTTGTTTTTGTGTGAAATTTCTGGGCTAGATTTGTTTTGAAACGCCACTGATGCCCCCTGCAAGCTTGGGCTGAGACAAACACTTGGTTTTGAATTGAAAATCGAAGTCTGCTGCTAAAAGTAAGATGTGTTAAAGCTGGAATTGAACTTCTTTCCATCTTAAAGACCCCAGAGCTTCCCCTTCCCCCAGCCCCCTGCCACAAATCAATCGTTACAGCAATTTAACCATATCTGTGGTGGAACGTGGCAGTTGCTTAACAGTGTGCAGAAGCATTGCCTCCCATTTTAGGATGGGAAGTGGAAAAAGATTGTTTTGAACTTGAGCCTGGTGGAGGTTGAGCAGACAGCACTGGAACTCCCCCAGGATCAACAGGGCAGCGATGAGCTGCCCTTGGAGGAAGCATCGCGGGATCTGAAACTACCTAGACGTGTTTAACGCTTTGGTTTTACATTTGTGCTTTTTAATAGATCTTCTGCTCCTCAACTTTTCTTTGGCGAATGGAAGAACCTACATTAGACATTTGCATGTGGACTCTGTGTTTTGTATTTATCAATAGACTCTTTTTTCCCCCAGCACCACCTACCCCCACGGAAGAGCCAGGGCTCCTGGATGCCTGTTGTGGTCCTAGTGTTGCTTTCAGTTAGGGAATGAACTCTTTAAGTGCCTGGGTTACTTAATAGGTCTGTTAAGATGTGAAAAGTGGCCTACCTGATGATTAAGAACATAGAATTGTATGTGAAGTCAGTCAGTCCTGAGTAAAGCACTTGTGTAGTATTTAGTATTATAACCTACAGA